TAAGAATCTCTTAGCGAAAGACCCTACGAAAATAAATCGAAAACGGAATAGTCTATGATTATATAATATAGTATGTGATAATCGAAGAGAAGAGAGATGAGGTAAAGAGTAACTCTTTTCTATTCCTGACGCCGCCCTACTTTACTTTTAAGATTCTAGAGGGTTCTAGAGGGTATATTAGTACGAGATTAAGGTCTAGATCCAGTAAAAAGTAAATTAAGAGGAGGAAAGGGGACCCTAACGCTACCCTCCAGCTACTGTAACCCTCGCTGAGTGGGCGAAAGGTTTCGAGAGACCGCACCGATAAGTAGGTAATAATATTAACCGGTACGCCATATTTAAGCGATCCTTACTTCTCCCTACGGCCACTCTATAGATCTAAGCTACTCTCTTCTTCGACCTCCGGTTCCTCGACCTCTCTAATTTCTTCCTTATAGCCCGCGGCGAATGATTCTCCTACCTTGATACGCCCGATGCTAATAGTAATGTGATGGTAGTCTAGCGTCGTGTAGCTACGTCCTAGTCTAATGGCCGTCTCCTACTTAATGATGCTAGTCATCTAATCCGTATCCCGAATCCCCTTCTCGTCGTACCAGATATGATCACTCTACCCTTAATCTTAAACCTATACGAGTAGATGCTCTCGGAGTCGCTGTACGTACGCGAGGTAAATGACCATAAGCTGCCCGACTCGCCATAGTAAGAATCGGGGCACTACCTTAGGCCGATCAAACTAAGACTGGGACTTATAATAGCGCGTCACCACTACCACTTACCTATCGATGATGAATACATTCCGGTCCTATAGGTACCCGTTTTGAAAGCGAATGCTGGTAATCTCCGTACCCCGAGCCGGCTAGCTATACGTCGTATGAACATAAAATAAGAGTAGTCGTAAAAAGTCATCGACCCGGCGGAGATAGCGACGAATCCGGCGCGCCCGTTAGTACCCTTAAGTCCGAAGCCGTTATCCGGGCGGCTAGTATAGCATTCGTTTCAGTATCTAATCTAAACCCTAGCTTAGACTATTACTACTTTTACTAATAAAAGAAATTCCTCGCCGGGTAAAGGTGACGTCGTCTACGAGAGAGTGTAGCGCTACATTAAATCGGTTAGATATATCCTTAACCTATATTAAATCTTACTAGAGTATATCTTCCGCCCGTTAAATAGTATTTACTATCATCTTGCGAAAGAGGGTGACTTCGATAGTACGTCCGCGAAAGAAAAGAGTCTTTTTATCCTTAGACTATGATACACTACCCGCATTACCTATATTTATCGTAACGTGTTTACTATAGGCGAGTAAGCTGAGCATTTTACTTATAGAGGTACTACTATCATCCGCGAGGTATTATCGTCGCTGGTCGAGAAAGCGCTTACGAATCTCATCTCCTTCTCCTTCTTCTAGTTCATCTTACTAAGCTCGGTCTTTCGAAGGTAATAAGACCTCGACTCTAAGTAACCGGATGTAGTAGACGACCCCGGCGAGTATATATAAGAAGTTAGGGGCTCGCCGGAGCCGATTATTTTCCTCGTTAATACCGAGTACGGCTAGAAAATGCATTAACGCGCTCTTAAACTACCGGCTACCGACCTTTTGAAAGATAAAGCTGCGAAATACGGCCAGCATAGCTTACATTTTAGCCTCGTCCTCGGGCGAGGTATCTCCACCTTCGGTACTTAAGTATCTACGAGGGAGAAGTAGCTGATTATAGAGCTGCGACACGAGTAATCGCTACTTACCCTACTACGGGAATAGCTCGCGAGCGTCCTTTATCGGATTAACTAGGCTCTCTCGTAATGTCGTCTCGTTCCTCCTCTCGCTCTCGCTCTCGCTCTCACTCTCACTTTCACTTTCACTAAGGTCCCTAGTGGCGAGATCCGAGCTATAATGCGGGTTTAGTAGTTCCTTGAGCTGCTTCTCCGATAGCTAGACCCGTAAGAAGAGGTAGAGAAAGCGTCGCATGTAGCTATAGTATCGGTCCTGGCTATTAGGCTCTTGTAATCGAGACAGCGGTCTAACATCGGGCTCGGCCTACTTCGGGCTCCGGAGCCAGCGTCGAAGCTCTTACTCTAGGGTTAAGAGACTAGCTAAAGTACGGTATAGTACTAAATCGAGTACGCGGACTCCCTCTCGCAGTACTACTTCATCTCGGTTAGGGAGTCGACTAGTATACGCTAAGAACCGAAAGTTTCGCTTCGCTAAGTACTAAGGCTATTTAGTGTACGTATACCATCCCGTACGATCTTACTTAAGCGTCTCCTCGTCCATCTACTTAAGGGATTTATAGTACTTCTCGCGGGCTGCTGACCACTCCGATTAAATCTGTACTAGTTCATCTTAATCGACCTGAGATGATTCAGTCGGTTATACCTAAGCGGTAGATGATAGTAGTCCTTGCGATGAAATCTATAGGCTAGCCTTAGCTAAACTACCATTAACGCGCACTATAAAATACTTAATAAGATTTCGATTAGTAAAGAACGTCTATACGTATACAGTGTCCTAGTAGATAGGCTAGTCTTAAGATTTACGCTATTAATGTTTATTATTCGCGTACTTCCGAATGTTATCGTAATTACTACGAATGACTCCGTAACCCTCTTAACGACATCGATATACAGTAATAGGGGGTTATAGGCCCTCGATGGGGTTAATTATGCCCGTTAGCGTCGCTACCTTCTCCGGCTGAATATAATCATTACGGGCATAGGCGTAAATAATCGCCTTTCGTCGAGCGAGTGAGAAGGTATGCTTATAGAGTAGGTACTTGGCCAGGTTCTATACGGTATACTAGTAAACGGTGCAGATCTAAATACGATAAGTCTCGTAATATAGTATACAGTTATGTAGCTCGTCGTCGGGAGTCTTAATCGGAGAATAGGAGGGACTATTAAGTAGCGTACTAGTCGGAATGGCCAGCGAAGGTCGACTACGTCGGGGGAGCTTCTAATTTAAATTCATGATTTTTAACACCCTAAATTATCAACCCTAATAGCCCTAGGGTTAGCGAACTTCTACACTACGGTAATTTTCATGAATCTAAGGTGATTTTCGGATTAATCGAGGCGGACCTTCTCGAAATTAACAAAATTAAAGACGCCTAGAGTAATTTAAAGAGCACTACGAAGTTTAGGTATAGCCTTTAGGTTTAGGTGAGCTTTTTTCCTGAAATAGTAGTAGCTTAGCAAACCCGGTACTAAGATATTTCCTAACTAGGGAGGGCATCGGCCATGCCCAGGGTATCATATTGGTTAGGATCCATCTCATGTCCTATCTCTTTTTTTCCAGTACGTCTGTAGAATGGATCCATCTTATATCCCATCTCCTTTTTTCCAGCACGTCTGTAGAATAGATCCATTTTATCCCCCGTCTTTCCTTTTCTCCAGCATGTCTGTGGAATGGATCCATTTTATCCCCCGTCTTTTTTTTTTTTTTTTTCTTACCATACCTGTGGAATGGATCCATTCTACATCCCATTTTTTTTTTTCCCTAGTGTGCCTGTAGAATAGATCCGTTCTATCTCCCATCTTTACCCTTTTTTTTTTCTACTATCCCTATGGAATGGATCCATCTTATCTCCCGTCTTTTTTTTTTCAGTATGTCTGTAGAATGGATCCATTTAATCTCCCATCTTTTTTTCTCCAGTACGTCTGTAGAATGGATCCATTCTACATCCTACTTCTTCTCCTCTCCTCGTACTCGCTCCGCTACTGGTGGTAATGCATCCATTCTATCTACCTCGAGACTACTCATCGTCGTCTATTTCTTACGGTTCATCGCCGCCTAGCCAGTTACTGTATCTCCAACCCAGCTACGTCCTATAGGCACGAAAAAAAAAGCGAAAATTAAAAAAAAAATCCCGCCCTAAGCAGTAAGACTCCTTGATCCCTCTCCCAGCTCTACCCTCTAATATACTTAATGTACCTCCGCAGTCCCAGTACTTCATGTACTTATGCTCGCTCATGCTCCGTACGCTTATGTCTACCGTATTCATGCTCGATACTCCCACCTTAATGCTTCCAGCTCCATACTCCAGGCCCTAAATCCCTTACTAATTACTGTATGTAGCATACTGAAAGTCGCATGCTAAATGGTGCGTACTGAATAGTGCATACTGAATGTTATACGCTAAATGTTACCTACTAAATGTTACATGCTGAAAGTCGCATACTAAATGATGTAGGCTAAATGGTGTATAATCCATACTTACGCCCGGCTGCCGACGCCCATTAAATAAATGGATCCTCCACCCCGTTGACCTAGTTATACACTATCTCCCCTATACTACTAGGTGGCGGCCCTTAGCCCTCGCCCGCCGCCGTTTCCTCGTTCCCCGCTCTCGCGGCCGCCGTATCCGTATCCGTATTTAAGTCCTCCGGGAGCGCGACTAGAGGGCGTCCTCGATCCACTAGCTCGCTATACGGCGTGTTAGGGCTGTCACTAATCTCCTTCGCCTCATCGTCGTCCGGGTCGTCCTCGGCCGCGCCATCCTTATCGCCATATATACTACCGTCGGCTACCGTAGTCTCACTACCTTTACTGAACGGCTTAACGGGCGCGTCCTAGGTCGTGGCGTTAGTCGGCCCGCGGGGGTCTATGGCCGTCCCGCCGCTCTCGCCCTCCTGCTCGCGGATCTCGCCATCTTCGAGGTCGTTAGGGTTGTCATCGTTAGTGTGGTCGGTGTCGTCGTCCGCGCTACCTAAGGCGACCTCGTCCTCGAGGGCCGCGCGTAGGGGGAGGCCACATCGCCGCCGCATGTCTTCCAGCCTTAAGTTGCCGTACTTGAATTACCACCCCGGCACGATCGCCGGAGGCGCTACGGGGTCCTACGTCGTCTTGTCCCACCACGTGTCGTCGTCCGGGCGGTACAGGAGGCCAGACTCGGGATCCACGATCATGCCGCTACTGAGGTGTTCCACCCACGTCGACACTTCGTTAATCCACTCCTCCGTACGAGCGCTACGGAACCGGTTCAGTCGAGGGACGTATTCCACCTCGTCGACCCGCTAGTCCATCGTCACGCTACGCTTAACTAGGGTGTCGAGGCCGACCGAGTAGTCCACCGCGCTAGTGAGACCGGGTCGAGTGCGAGAGGGCGTACTAGGTGGGGGGCGATCTAGAGGAATCGGGAGGGTCAGCGAGGGCACGGATAAAGGGGGGAGGGGAGGCCGTAGAATGGATCCGTCAGGGAGATCGGGTAAATGGATCCATCCTACGGACTATACAGACTAGACTTACCGGGTAGAGTGATGATGGGGTTGCGTTAGCCGGCCGTGATAGCCGTAAACAGTCGATCGTACGCGTGGTGGCGGCGATGGGGAGTGTCGGCCAGCGCCGCCGCGGTGTAAGGCGCGTGGAGATCCATCGTCCGCCAGTGTAGGCGGCTGCAGCGCTGACCCAGCTGCCGGCGAATGTACTCTTCGGCCTACGCCATAAATAAGTCGTCTCGGGCCGCTTTCACCACCTGGTAGGCCTCGGTCGGGTCCATGTCGTTCGACGCCGTAAACATCCGCTCGCGGTCGAGGGTCGAGATCTGCGTTTCCATGCGCGCCTCCCCGGCGAGTTAGCTCATCATCTTAGCCGTAGCGTTAGAGTAGAGCTACTGGTCGTACGTACCTAACACGCACACGGTCTAGATGAACTGTACGTATTCTTAACCTAGGCGGTGCACCCGCCCGATGGACTAGGTCACGGTAGGGATGTTCTCGGGTATGTCGAAAATCACGAGCTTATAGTACGCCCCTTAGATGTTAAGGCCGAGCGAGGACGACCGGCTATTTAATAGTAGGAAGAGCACGTCGTCCTCCGGGTCGTTTCATTTAGCCAGGATCGAGCTACGCGCCGCCGCCGTGGTGCTAGGCTAGATGACGTAGTATTTCACCCCCAGGTTGTGGAGGAAACTGTCCGGTCCCCACTGGGTGTGTAGCTAATTCATCATGAACACGACCTTACCCGTGAAGTAGCCCGCTTCGTCGCCCTACATCGCCATGTACACGTACTTAGCCAGGTACCGCAGCTTCGCGGATTCCCCGGCCTAGTAGGCGTATACGCCCAGCCGGTCGTAGTAGTTAGGGATGGTCGGGGAGGGGCGGGTAGCCAGAAAGTACTCCGTGAAGCCGTAGTCGTCCGTATTCTCGGTCTAGTCGCGCGCCTATACCGCACCTTTCAGGCCCTTCTTACGGAGCATTAGCGTGTTCATCCGCCCGTCGAACGTAGTCAGGTAGAGGTGGCGGTAGATGGTCATGTCCCGTAGCCCGGACAGCGCGATGCCCGGTTTCTTACTCGGTTTAGCCGCCGCCGCGCCCCCCTTAATGAGGTGGCGGGAAAAGGTCGACTACACTTTCTTATATTCGTCCTCTTCGTACGCGCGCTGGCGCAGCTCCACGCCCGTGATGTAGTACATGAGTACGTTAATCCCCGGTTAGTAGTAGTCGTGGCCTTCTAGCCAGATCTGGGACGCTATAGTCTAGCGGAGCTAGATGAGACCTAAAATAGTGCGGAGTACGTTATACGCGGTCGTAGTACTCTCTAGCTTACCGTTATTAATGAGCGAGGCGAATAGACGGGGGTTAAGTACGAATAGGGGCTACTCGTCGTACTTCGCTATGTATAGGGGACATTTATCCTTAACGTCGGTAATCACCAGGGACGAGTAGATCTTTTCGGCCTAGGTAGGTAGGATGAAGTCGTCTAGGTCCCGTAGGTCCGTCTCCTAGGCCGGGTTCTAGAGGAGGTACAGGTACCCTAGGAGGTCCGACACCCGGTTCACCATAGGCGTAGCGGTGATGAACTACTTCTTAGGCGCGTATAGTTTCTCGATGGCGATCGCGTTCATCGTCTTAGGGTTCTTGACTTTATAGGCTTCGTCGTAGACGACCCGATAGAAGAGGCCGGTAAAGAGGGACGTGTACACCGTACAGTCGTCCGATTCCTCGCGCAAGCCGGCGTCATCTTCCTCCGGGGGGAGGTCCGCGGTAGCCTATTCATTAAACTGGACATCATCCTCGAGCTGGCGAGTGAGCCGGCGAATGCGCCGTAGATCGGCGTCCTTAAGCGCAATGTCCTTAAGACTAGGTAGGTACTTCGACCGTACCGCACTAGTAGTGGCGTCAACGTCGCCGGGTAGGGTCTCGATGGAGTCATCATCTGTAGAGAAGAGGTTAGTAGATGGTCTCTAGAATGGATCCGCGGGAAGGCGGCGGCGAATGGATCCATGCTACGGACTGTCATGATGGACGGGAAGGGGGGTACTGACCTCGCTTGGGTTAGCCGGTGATGGTACGGAACTTATCTTCGATAGACTTCTTGATGCTGGTCAGGGTGCGCTTAATACACGTCTCATACGCCACCTAGACGATGCCGAAGGCGGACATAGGGTCGTCGGCCGGGAAAGCCTATTCGATCGCGTCCCGCGCGGCTAGGGGGTTAGAAGGGAGTATAATGGCGCGAAGGTCCTCATCCACGTCGGTACTTAGCGTACGGTCGGTACCGTAGAAGATGCGGAGGTCGAGGACCGGACGGCCACTCTTACTGCGCTAATGTTTACGGTATTCCGTATACTACGAGTCTAACGTAGTCGGCGGCGCCACGACTAGGGTCGGTCGAAAATCGACTTTAGGGGGTTTCGGTGGCGGGCGGCCGTACGTAATGGCATCGTCGCGCCGCTCCAGGTACTCCTACTAAATGCCTAGTTTCTTCATGGCCGCGTAGTAGATGTAGGCGTAGCACTAGGAGGTCTTGCCGAGTCCGTAGTCCTTGGCGACTAGGCCGCCCCCGTAGGGGCACTCTTCCATGTTCATCTACTATACCGTGCCGATGACCTAGTAGTGTTTGGGGCAAAATGACGTAGGGTCAGTTTTATCGGTGGGTAGAGTATAGATGCCCTTGTCCAACTTACGGTAGTCGGGGTCGATGCCCAAGACCTAGGCCGCTTCGCGATACCCTTTAACTAGCGCATAGACCGTCGACGTCTTCGCCCGTAGGTCCTAAAATTCCTTCTCGGCCGGGTGCAGGACGGCGGGTTTCATCGGGTCTTGGTACTTCTCGGGGGCGACGCGCTCGGCCATAAAGAGGTCCTCACTCTACTAGGTAGAGTCGCCCGGTAAGGTCGTAGTGAAGGAGTCGTGGATAATGTCACATTAGTCGATCAGCGATAGTAAGAAGTACTTAAGTGTTTCGTCGTCCAGTAGAGGTCGCACCACGCGGTCGGTCGCGCCCTAAAGAGAAGGTGGTCAGTGACGGGACGTTCTAACGAGTAAAAGGGGGCCGTAGAATAGATCCTCTAGCCAGTTATAGATAGTCCAGGCTAATGGGCGGTAGAATGGATCCAGTGGTCAGAATATCCAGCGGATCCATTCTACGGCCCGTTAGCCGGGTAATCGAGGGTAAAGCGAACGGATCCATTCCATGGAGAAAAGAAACTCACCTTCTTCTTAGATGACTTAGAGAGTCGCTCGATGTTACGAGAGATGTAGTCGTTATTATCGGCTAATTAATCTAGGGTCTCATCTTTAAGGATGAGAGTGGCCATATTAATCCGTTCCGCCTTATCGTACTCGGGATATTCCTTATCCCCCTATAAGAGGGTGACTTAGTCTTTAAGGTTCTGTACGTCCTAGGCTTTAGCCGCGGTAGCCGGGTCGATAGATATGCGGGCGAATTCCTCATCGGTTAAGTAGCGTACCGGAGCCGCCGTCTTATTACCGAAGACGGGTAGGGTCTATTTTTCGTAACACCCGACCGCGAACCGTAGTAGGACGAAGGCGCGATAGAAGTCTTCGGCGGTAGCGAGTCCCTATCGGATCTATCCGGGCTTCGGCTTATCGAAGGACTCCTTAAAGAGGCCGCGACATTTCTTGATGATCTTATACGTCTAGGCCACGTAGACGGCCTTAGGGAAGATACTCTTATTCTTCTTAGTCGGGCCCACGAATTTAGCGAAGCAGGGGTCCTCGAGGGACAGGGGTTCCGTAAGGCTGACATCGGCTAGTTATTTCCAGCTATACGCGGCCTTATCCCCTTTAGCGATTTCTTTAACAATCTTATCGTAGGCGAACGTAGACATAGCGACTACGCCGGGCACACTAAAGCCTACCCACTTATATTTTAGGAAGGATTAGATAGTAGGTTTCAAGGACTCGACCACCCAGCCGAGCTCCTAGGTATTAGGTAAGCCCAGGTATCCGGCGATGTAGGCCTAATTACGCTGCAGTTTTCGCTCGGGCTCGATAATCCGATACCAATAGAAATTATAGGCTATAGCGGCGATAGCGGTCGCGCGGTCCGTGAAGCCGAAGTCCTCAACCGTCTTCTTATCCTAGGCTCTCTATTACTTCCGGGCGTTATAGGCGATGGCCTTATCGCGAGCGGTCTTAGGGTCTAGGTCGAGGCCGCTATCCGATTCGCCCTCGGAGTCATCGATATATACGGTAGACTTAGCCTCGGACTATCGCTACTTACCCTTATCCGTAGCCTTCGATGCTGGTGCCGTAGGTTGATCTACGTCATCGTCCGCGCCAGTGAGGTCCACATAACTAGTACTCTTAGTCGTGCTCTTCGAGGTGGTACTCTTCAGGATAGTACTCTTCTTAGTAGTGCTCTTCGGGGTGTTAGACAAGTCGGACTAGTCAGTAGCTTCTTCGGTATTTTTCAGTCGTTCTTGCAACTCTTCCAGGGCGGCCTTAGTGTTTTTGTACTTCTCCTTAAGCTAAGCGGCGCGGTCTTTATTGCCTTTGGTTCTTAGTAGGTCTTCGTACGCTTTCTTAATTCTAGCAACCTTCTGCTCGACATGTACGACGCGTATCTCTAACGCGGTCTTAGATTCTATCTTAGGGCGCTTCGTAGGTTCCGCCTCGGAAGAGCTAGAAGTCCCGGACCGGCGCTTACGGCGGGGTACCATAGTGACGATGTAGTGTCTAGTTCCTATAAGTAGCTCGAGTCAGTTAAAATAGTCTATAGATTAGATCTAATGAGTTAAGGGGCGCGGGATAGATACTAATCAAATGGGCTGTAAGATGGGCCGTAGAATAGATCCATTCCACAGCCCATTGTATGCTGGTCGTACGGTAAAACAAAAAAAAAACGAGAGATGGTGCGTGGATCCAGTCCCTAGGCCGTTATAGGCCAGGGAGCGTCAACTTTAGAAATCTAATGGATCCATTCCATAGACCGTTACGAGTGAAAAAAAAATGGACCATGAAACTTCCATGGATCCTTTTCCCCTGCCAGTACTAAACTAACAAGAAAAAAGGTCAGGATGAGATCTGGAGAGGGTCTCATAAATTATCGAAGTTATAGAAACCTAGTAAGGTACGAGATGAAATAAAACTACCTCGCTACCAGTACTAAACTAACAAAAAAAAAGGGGGAAAAAAAAAAAAAGGATAAAAAAGGAGATCCTCGATGAATCTCTTAGGGTTTTAAAATCGCCGAAGACTAGTAAAAGGCAGTAAGAGATGGATCCACTAGAGTAGTTAGTAGACTAGGGAAGGGAAGATATTAGCTGTAGAATGGATCCACTGGAGGTAGGTAGTAGAGGAGAGAGGGAGAGGGTAAATGGGCTGTAGATTGGATCCAGTGAGCTAAATACTAACCTCTAGGTGAGATTTTAGCCCCTATCACACAGAATTTATCGTCGGCGCGCGAATCTAGCGTCGCTAGCGCCTAAAAGGGCGTCTCGGCTGGGCCACGGACAGGTAGAGGCTGTGCTGGACTCTCTTAATGGATTGGACAGCGTTTACACGGGAAAATGAAGCGATTTAGATGAAGTTAAGAAGGGTTGTCCTGGGAAAGTGTGAGAGGAGAAAAGAGAGATTGAAAAGTAGGAGATAGATTAGCGACGGCGAGAGACGCCAAGGGTAGTCGACAACCAGGTAGGTGAGGTAGAGGTGAATTCTGCCATACCCTAGAGCGAGATGGATCTAGTCTACAGACTACCTAACTATGGCTGAAGAGGTGGCCAGCTGTTAGATCCATTCTACAGCCTGTTTACTCCGTCTTTACGAGGTCTTCTAAGCCGATGCTAGGACTTCCTAGGTTAGACATTCAGTCCATCATGTACGCTCTAGTCGGTAGAGGCCGACTTAGATGGGTCTCATGCGATTTAGCCGTACTAGGGAATAATAGACGTATATCACACCCTAAATGATACTAATGGTCAATCTTTAATGCGCGAGCCTCGAAGGCGGAGGCGTCTAGGATATACGAAGGGGATACGTCCATAATTAACGAATCAGCGCGGACTCGGGGAATCTAGGGAAATTCTAGGGTAAAGTAGGTCTACGGGTACCCGGCCCCGGATTCGACCTATCACTAGTACTACAATCCCTTCTACTAGACTAGTTCGGTAGTACTGGATGTACGCCCGTTCGCGATGGCGTCGTGTACGGTAAGTCGACGGTAAGTCATGTCGCGGTCCTCAACTAACACGGTGTATACTGTTGGACATCCTCTTCTCAAAGTAAGTAATGGGTTTCCATATTCACGGGGATGGTAGATCCTGTACGTGCGCGCGTATTTTCTACAAACGGGGTAGGGGGCATAAACGGGACAACGGGGTAGAAATGGATTTTTAATCAACACCGGGCGAGGCGTCATGGGAATCAAGGGTGAGTGATAATGTAATGGGCGGTTTACGCTACGGGTAGTCACGGCAGATAGGCTGTAGAATGGATCCGAGGGTAAGGGGGGGAGAGACGCGGAGTGGATCCATTCTACAGCCCATTCCCACCGCTGGCCGGAGATGATATATAGAGAGACGTAGAGAGAGGGAGGGATGGAACGAATCTCAGATAATCTTAATTTATATATATACGTAGTACTAGAGAGTCCCCCGGTAAGGGTACGTCCTCGGCGGTCACTCCGTCGCGGTAATGCGGCGCACCTATATTTTAACCTACTCGGACCATTAGTCCGGTATCTAGGAAATCCACTCGGGGAGGTCGGCCGTCCATCCCGGGCGGTAGAGCTAGTACGTCCGTTTATTACGAGTCCCGAGCTATACCTACTTATCGGGGTCGACGCGATGGAGGATGTCGGGCGTAGGTATAGTGTCGAAATCGGCGGCTACGAGGTCGATGGAGTACTATATACGCGCACTCTATTTAGTCTTCTAGGTCAGTCCGTATCGGTAAGGGTAGGGTAGGAGCTAGTACCACTTAAAGAGGTACCGGATGTACGTACGCGTAAAGTACCGGCGGTGATGGTTCGCGGCGAAGGGGGCGTAGGAGAGTCGCGTATACGCGCGGCGGTAGAGGGTACGGTAGGGCTTCTAGTCCTAGTAGAGCCGCACGAACTCGTCGTCCCAGTCGAAGAGGTACTATACGAGTCGCCGGGGGTCCTTAAAGTCGGACTTATTGCCGGTGACGGTATAGATGCGCTTAGTCGACATAATGCGGCGAAAGTATTCGTAGTAGAAGGGGCCCGGGCTCTATAGGGCCTCCTCGACGTAGTCGGGGAGGATGTCGTACTCGACCGTATAGAGGGTATCGATCCGAAACTACTCGAGGTAGATATATACCGTCTACTAGAGGAGACGCTAGGCGATGAAGACGTAGTCGACGTGTTCCTCGAGGAGACGGAGGGCGAGGTCGAGTCGCCGCTCGTAGTCAAAGAAGTCACGGACGGCACTACCGCGGCGGACGTATAGGTCGCGTAGGGTCGAGTTACTAAAGGTCACGAGGTCGGTAATGTCCCGGTGGAATTCGAGGCGGGTCTAGTCGATCCGCGGCTCGACCCAGTAGAATCCGTAGCGGGGGAGGGTATAGCCGAATCTAAGGCCGACCTAGCTGCGGCGGTAGTCCGTACCCGGGTCGCCGACGTCGACGCGCGGTTCGCGCGGGGGGAGGTCCCGTCGCCCGTACTAGAGGGCGGGTTCCCGAGAGAGCTACTACCCGCCGAGGGCGAAGCGAAGATAGCGTAGGAACATAGCTATGATCTTAGTCTACTCCCACGTGGTCGCGTAGGGGAGCGCGCGGGCGTAGACGAGCTCGAAGCCGAGGGCGAACCGGTTGATGTAGTGGCGGAGGAAGCGAAAGTAGGTCGGCGTGGGGATCGTCCAGACGTACGGAGGGTGGCCTCGAAGGGGGCGCGGGCGCGTCGCGGGCGGGAGGTGCGTATAGAGGATGTCCATCATGGCGACCGCGTACGCGTAGGTGATGCGCGCCTCTTACCGGATACCGTAGTGTTTACGGCGGTTATCGTATAGGTTGACGCGGGCGCGGTACTGACTCTACGTGTACGCCCGGCGGAGGACACGCCTCTCGCGAGGACGCCCCCTAGCGAGGGTACGGGCGGTGTCACTAACTAAGGGGTCGACCGCTAGCTCCTCGATGGCGTCGTTATCGAAGGGTATACGCTTATTAGCGTTAAACACCTCCTTTACCGAGTTATAGTTCTAGATGTAGCGAACACCCCCCCGGTAGAGCCGCGACCGTTTAGGCGGGACACTCGTGACGGAGACGGCGTCGCGGAGCATAGACTGCGTATAGAACCGAGTACCCGACCCCTAGTGCGACGGGGTCTTCCGTTCTTCCTAGTAGAGCCAGCGGATGTACGACTCGAGGTAATACCGTCGCTATAGGTACGTCGTGGGGGTGGGGGAGATACTCGAGTCGGTCGAGGGCTGGGGAATATAGATCTCTTACCCGAGGTCGAGGTACAGCTAGTCCTCGTCGATGTACTCCTATTATAGGACTCCCTAGATCTACGTATACCACTCCTAGAGGGCGTCGAGGACGCTCGTAGTATCACGGGAGCGACTCTTGAAGGCGAGCTTAGTCCCTTTAGCGCTGAAGAAGATCTAGAGGTCGCGAAAGTCGTAGAGGCCGGGCTATAACTCGATTAACTCGAGGATGGCGGACTAGAGGGGGGCGAGGAGGTAGGCCTAGAGGGTGTAGTAGATGGCCTAGGCACTCTAGTAGCTACTGGTAGTGGCCTTACGCCCTTCGACCTACGCCGCGACCGAGTTAGCCTAGGCCTACCGGAGCGACCTAGGGATGTACTAGAGGATGTACGCGGGGGCGATAGATGTAAGGGCCGGGAGGAAGATACGGTCGAACTAGCGGTGTAACTACTACTGCTTTAGCCCGATAAATTCCTCATCGACCGGTAGGTGCGGGAAGAGGAAGTAGACCTCGATATCGCGAGCGTTAAAGAGGCGCCCGGCGAAGAAGTGAGGGATGTCACGGAGGAGGGTAGTAGTGACCCGGGCGCGTGAAGGGTCGCCCTCGTCCTCGTCTCGGTCCTCCTCCCGAGGTAGGACGGGATCCTCGCGGTACGCGATACTAGTGATATAGACGTCGGTCGTGATGTTCCGGTATACGCGTAGGGCGAGATCGACGTTTAATCCGCCTCGGGCGAACGCGAGGGACGTCGCGAACCCGAGGAAGCTGTCGATGTCGGATAAGACGTCGGGATCCGTAGGGGGGGTAGTGTACATATAGAGGTAGATATATCGCGGGAAGGGTTAATAGGGACTAGTACCGTAGATAGCTTCTTCTTATTATACCGCCGAGGGCGTAAAATCGGCCTACGCCTAGTCACGCGTTAGGAGCTGGTCGAGGTCGTAGTCTAGCCGGATGACCGAGGGGAAATGAGCGCGTAGGAAATAAGAGAGTAGATCGTAGTGTTTCTAGTCGCCGACGACCTCCTCGTACTACTGTAGGAGAGAGGCGTATTTCTCGACCGTACATCCGTAGTACCCTTTAAAATGAAACTAGGCCAGGAGCTTCTCGGCGGTAAAGGTCACGTAGTCTAGCTCGTCATCATCGCTCCCTAGACTAACACTATAAAGACTATCCTCGTCCGGGATATCCTCCTCTTAACTAGCTACCTCTTACTCGGGTAGGAGTCCTTCCGCGTCGTTAGAGTCGAGTAACTCGGAGGGGGTCTAGGAAGGAGGGTTAAGGAGTTCGGGAGGGGTCGAAGCGTCTAAGTCGAAGAGTTCGGGGGGGGTGTCTCCGAAGATGTACTTATATAGTCGCCGCGGACGGGATGCTCTCGGTGCGGGGAGTAGAGATGAAACTCTAGCCGATGTACGTATCGTGATTAGGCTGGAGATGATTAGAGAGTTTATCTCGACTCTAGCCGAAGTATATACGGACGGTGGACCGTAAGAGGGCGATGATGGTGAGAGAGTATAGATTTCCGCCGTAGTGTTTATATATACTAGCGACGTAAGCGAGAAGCTAGAGAAGTGAGCGGAGGTATAGGCTCTAGCGGAAGCCGTAGTAAGGTAAGGCGTAGATGCGCGGTATAGGTAATTCGTGGTTCTAGTGTATATGGAAGCTCTTAGTAGCTGCGCCCGAGGGTGACTCTTATAACTTTCTAGTCGAGATTCGCCATCGCTCGAGACTAAGGTATTGTCTTTATCGTGGCGAATGTATCGCGATAGGTATACACGAGGGAGTGCGGACGGCGTAGATATCGTAGAGTGGGATCGATAGCTTAAGAACGTAGAAGGACCGGAGTATAGGCGCGGTAAGGCGGTATAGTAGTAGATCTATCGCTAGCTAAGTGATGGTCTTTACGGTAGGTATAATAGGGTATCGAGGGGTTCGCGATATCGATGACTATTAGTACGACGTGAGCTCTAAATAGGAGATAGAGGTGCTGGTTATTACCGCGGTTAGCGTTTTCGGTAGAGGGCGTAATGTTCGTTAATGTCGAGGGCGGTAACTTAGCGGGTAGCATCTATAATGTCCTAGACGAAATCTTAACCTTATATACGTAGGCTAGTCGCGGGTGAAGTAGGAGTAGGATCTAGAAAGTTAAAAGGGTGTTTAATAATGGATTCGATGGCTTATTATCCTAGAGCTGGTAGTTAGGTGGCTTCCTATCGTCGTCTCTGTCGAAGCCTCTGCTGACGGATACGGTCTTACTAACGTCGGCGCTAGGTAGATAGGTCTACCGTATCGTCTATCGATAGGGGTCTTCCTCTCTTAGGTAGCCGTCTAGTACTAGACATAGTATTCTTTATGATGTATATTATATTTTAGAGTTAAAGGAACATGAATTTAGTGAGGCGGTGTATCTAAAGCTAATTAATTCGATCTAACTACTGAATTCGGGTACGTCCATAATATCTAGAGCGTGATTAATATTCGTCTACGGAGTAATAGTAAGCTTTAAAGATAATATAGCCTTATAATAGGGAATCCTATTCTACCTTTAGGCGATAACTAAGCTCATAATTTAGTCGTTTCGGTTAGATAGCTCGGAACTTCTTATATACCGTTGTAATCGTAAGGTAGTGTAAGGCTGTACTGGCGAGCTCCTATATCGTAGCGGGTATTAGTTAGTAGCTATACGCTCCGTCCTATACTAGTAAATCTAGCGCTCGATCCTGGCCAGTTCCGCTATAGTAATGATGTAGAGGCTACCGTAGCGAAAGCCCGATATAGGCCTACTCTATACCTTTATCTATAAAATTTAGAGGTTTAGCCCTACCTATAGAGCGTCCACCTCTTTAATCTGTTCAAGAAGACCTTACTTACCCGCTACCGGGCGTCCTCTTTAATTTGTTCAAGAAGACCTTACTTACCCGCTACCGGGCGTCCTCTTTGATCTGTTCAAGAAGACCTTACTTACCCGCTACCGGGCGTCCTCTTTAATTTATTCAAGAAGACCTTACTTACCCGCTACCGGGCGTCCTCTTTAATCTATTCAAGAAGACCTTACTTACCCGCTACCGGGCGTCCTCTTTAATCTATTCAAGAAGACCTTACTTACCCGCTACCGGGCGTCCTCTTTGATTTATTCAAGAAGACCTTACTTACCCGCTACCGGGCGTCCTCTTTAATCTATTCAAGAAGACCTTACTTACCCGCCATAGCGCGTCCACCTCTTTAATTTATTCAAGAAGACCTTACTTACCCGCTACCGGGCGTCCTCTTTGATCTATTTAAGAAGACTACCTCCTCTTCCTTCGTGGAAAGCATTAACGGTAAATAGTGTTCTATCCAGGCCGTTTAGTCCGGTGTGTCTACGCACTACCTCCTCTTCCTTCGTGAAAAGCGTTAACGATAAATAGGGTTCTATCTAGGCCGTTTAGTCCGGTGTATCTACGCACCACCTCCTTTTCCTCCGTGGAAAGCGTTGACGGTAAATAGTATTCCATCTAGGAAAAGGAGGTAGTGTAGATACCATCGGTTCTCGAGGATCGGTTTCCCGTAAATAAGAGCTATCCGATAGAGGAACTAGGATGATTCGATCCAGTACCTAGAGCTGCGATAAATGTAGTGAACTCGATATATACGGATTTTCGAGTAATCCTCGTCCTATTACGTGACGTTATCTCTTCTCTCTCCTATCCTTTTCTCTCGGAGATGAATAGTTAGGCTAATATTAGTTGAGATTACTATCGTTATTAAGTACCTCTTCAGCGTCTCTTAGCCTCGCGAATTCTCGTCTAAGTCTTTTCGGCGTCTCTCGGCCTGGCGAACTCTCGTAGCGCCTTTACTTTTAAGGTTACGGTAATATCGAACTCGATTTCATGGAGAGTATGATGTTTCTTCTCTATAGATACTAAGGTAGATGTAAAATGGATCCGTTAACTAAGGTAACCGTTAGATCCATTCTATATCTACCTTAGTATTTAACTCTAGGGCTTGATATTCGAGTATAGTCTCCTAGAATACTTCGTATGTCGACCGGCTTAAATAAATCTTCTTTCGAATCTAGTTTAGTTTTCGAAGGTTAGACTTTTATCCCTACTTCTTTTTAGCGATCTTATTATTATTAACTACCTACTTCTTCGTGACGTAGTGGTATTTAAGCTTATCTAGTTTAAGGTACTTACCCTCGAATACGCTGTACGGGATTTCATGAAGGCGTATAATCGTTATCGACGTATAGATCGCTCTCTACGCTAACACTATTAACTCGCCTATATTACGGAAAGGGAGATTCGGGGCGACGTTATAGGCTCTAAGTAACGCCTTAGCGTAGCGAGTCTAAGGTTCTTGTACCTCCTCCTCTTGAGCGCGAGGGCCTGAGTAACGCCTTAGCGTAGCGAGCTTAAGGTTCTTACACCCCTCCTCTTGAGCGCGAAGGCCTATACCCTAAGTAACGCCTTAGCGTAGCGAGTCTAAGGTTCTTACACCTCCTCCTCTTAAGCGCGAAGGCCTATACCCTAAGTAACGCCTTAGCGTAGCGAGCTTGAGGTTCTTATACCTCCTCCTCTTAAGCGCGAAGGCCTGTACTCTAAGTAACGCCTCAGCGTGGCGAGCTTGAGGTTCTTGTACCTCCTCCTCTTGAGCGCGAGGGCCTAAGTAACGCCTTAGCGTAGCGAGCTTGAGGTTCTTATACCTCCTCCTCTTAAGCGCGAGGGCCTGAGTAACGCCTCAGCGTAGCGAGCTTAAGGTTCTTATACCTCCTCCTCTTAGGCGCGAGGGCTTAAGTAACGCCTCAGCGTAGCGAGTCTGAGGTTCTTACACCTCCTCCTCTTGAGCGCGAGGGCCTAAGTAACGCCTTAGCGTAGCGAGCTTGAGGTTCTTACACCTCCTCTTGGGCGCGAGGGCTTGAGTAACGCCTTAGCGTAGCGAGTCTAAGGTTCTTACACCTCCTCCTCTTGAGCGCGAGGGCTTGAGTAACGCCTTAGCGTAGCGAGTCTGAGGTTCTTGCACCTCCTCCTCTTGAGCGCGAGGGCTTAAGTAACGCCTCAGCGTAGCGAGCTTAAGGTTCTTACACCCCCTCTTAAGCGCGAGGGCCTAGGTAAGTACTTCGACGAGCGATAGTGATAGGGACACCTAGGGATTTCCTAGTATATGCGATAGAGGTATCCGAATCTCGTTAGACGGTTTAATAATGGGCGCGTGAATGCGAATATAGATGTCGACTTAGTTTTCTCGGAGGGCGAGGAAGCTGCGGTATGTTAATTTTTACTGGTATACTTTCTCTTCTAGCGGCTATAGCTACGTCCATTCGCGCTATTCGGTTTTCTCTTAAGTAGGCTTCTTAGGGATCTCGTTAAGGTTAGGGAGGGTAGCGAGTTCTCCTGATCTTTTTTATTAGTTTATCTAAGTATTAGAGTCAAGTATAGTTACCGTAGATGTCTCGGTAAGTACTTAATGTAGTATTAATATTATAGGTTTAGTATCGCGGAGCGTTCATTATTCAAACACCTAGATATCCTACGTTTACCTATATACCCATTCATTTTATTAAAGAGATTAGGGTGTAGAATGGATCCATTCTATAGCTTAGGTTGATAATGCTGTACAATATATTAAGTCCGCTGTTCGAATGTAGATCGAGTACGGTAGGGTGCGTGGTAAATGAAATAGGGAGCTACCTAGAGCGCGCCTAAAGGGGATTACGCTGTAAACAAACTAATAGGTGAATTGTCACGCTGTAAGCGGACTAATGAGTGAATTATCACGGTATAAGCGAACTAATGGCTGAATTGTCACGCTGTAAGCGGACCAATGGCTGAATTATCACGCTAGCTAGTGTGAGGGTTTAGAAAGAGTTCTGTAACTAGCTAGCCAACCTAGTAACAAGGAGGATAAATCTAAGGAGAGAGAAGGAGGAATAATGTCCCCTCCTTCTCTCCTTATATCGTACGCTCCTCCGCAAGGGATACTTAATGTCTTCCCCTTTCTCCCTTATCCTTCCTCTTTCGTACACGCCTTACGTTTCCCTTACCTTTTGTCTCTCTTCCTTACCTTCCCTTACGTACGGTGTCTCAGCTTGCCAGGATTCGGTATCCCTTACACGGTACGTGCCTCGTCCAATCAGGAAGCTGCCCTTTTACCTGTACGATGTATAGGTAAATTTAGCCAATCAGGAGGTGGCGTTAGTCCTGTCGTTAGTCTTGGCGCTGGTTCGTCAGAACCGAGCCTCCTTCTGGGTTCAACCCATCACAGCTAGACTAGGCTACTTCAGTAGTTAGTGCGGGTAATGCTTGGCGGTATACTCTTTAACGCCTCGAGATAGGGTATTTTTAGACTTCGATATCTTAATAACGCGACTAGCTAGAGAGATAAAGAGACCTACGTTAGATAGAGGAAGAGAAATACTATATAAGTAGCTATAATAAAATAAAAATATCTAACGGAGGTCGTTAACCTTAAGGGGTAGAAGAAGTATAGATTACCTATTTAGGTAATCCTCCGAGTCCTTCGAACAGGTTATGAGCCCGGGTTATCGTTAATCCGGCGCTACTATATCGACACCTACCTTAACGATTCTACCGATTACGCTCTAAGTACCGATACTAGAGAACGATAATACGGAAAATAGACTTATCTACTAAGTCTATCGAATCGATCGAAGCTTCCGTTACTAGGTTAGCGATAAACCTAGATAATCGAGGGCTAATAGTCACCGATACTATCATAAGACCTTCAAAGTCGAACGCCAGTATACAATGGCTAGCGATTCTAACCCATTTAGGGTCCCTAGACTAAAGGGATCTATAAACTGGGAGTTCTGGGCGCTACGAATGGAAGCCTATATAATCGATAAAGGCTACGAATCGGCGCTATATCCCGTTATACCCTACGACTCGAATAAGGGTAGTCAGGCCGAATACGATGCTTACCTAGCCGAGAGAGAGGCTAAATCAGTTAAGGCTAGCGCCCTTATACGCCTAGCGCTAGACGACGGCCCTCTTATACAAGTTAAAGGTCTTAAAAGCGCCATCGAGATATGGGATAGACTTAAGACCCTTTACGAACCGAAAGGCTTTAGTTCTGAGTTCCTTATATGTAAGGAACTATTCAGTACTAGCCTAGCGACCTCAGGCGGTTCTATCGAGAACTACCTAACGAAAATCAAGCGATTATCCGACGAACTAGCGGCTCGAAAACTAGCGATTCCCGATAAGGTTATTATAGCCTATGCCTTAAACAACCTAACGACTGAATACGAGAATACCGTCGCTATAATCACGCAAAATCTAAGAACTAGCGATAAAGCGATCGATATATCCGCTATATTCGGCTATCTACTTGTCAGGAACGGCCTACATAGATAGGCAGAGGGTAGCGATAGGTACAGGTAGGTATAGGTATTCCTTGATAGTATATCTTAACTAAAACTTAAAGCATGAGGGAAGGAAGCTTCCCTCAGGCGGTGAGCATGCGGTGCTTAAATAATAAGGGGTTATCACGTGTGAGTTATACTTAGCGGTTCGTGACAATTATCCCCCCCCTGAGCTTCTCGTCCTCGAGAAGTTTCTGGGGATCCCCCTCCCGCGTACCGTAGGCGTCTCGCATACTCGCATAATTTTTACATCATCTTGAGGGTCGCGTGCGGTCCGCAGCTGTTTAACCTCGTCGTCGCATCCTCCATTTACGCTCCGTAATCTAGATTGATTGATTCTCATGGTAGCAGGCCTGTCCCTAGGCGGCGTCCTTATGCCCCCAGGGGTGTCCTATAGGTAGGCCTCATGCCGTTCGTGTCTCCGTGCTGTTAAAGGGGTAGCCGCATGCGTACAGCGTGCGAGTCGTGCTCGACCATTATTAATATAGGTCTGGTAGACCTCACCGTCGCATCGTGCCAGTAGCCCTTTATTATTATTTTCCTTTCGTTTTCGTTTTCTCTTCCTTCTTCCTTCTTCCTTCTTCCTTCTTGCCTACAACAACTACAACAATAACCACCATGTAAGTACTTTTCCCCTTCGTTCCGTGTGCGAAACGCATATGCTGACAATTAGTGAAGCTCCCTACTCTCGTACCCTCTTATTAGAGTAAGTTCCGGCGATCCTCGACGGATTCGCATGCGAGGAGGCCGCGGCTAACATTCGTGTCGCAGTCCCTGTAATTCAAGCTCTTCTCCTGCTCCTCTAACAGTATGTACTGCGGTGACTGTTACGGTCCGCGTGCTAACCGCCATAGTATCTGCCGCCGTTACTGCCCCTACTGCCCCTATTGTCGATCGCCCCGCGACCCCGGTCGCTGCCGGCGGTAGGGCCGAGGATCCTGGGGATAACCGTCCTCTACGGCGCCCCCGTAAGTCATGCGATTCGCGTGCGGTTCGCTGCTGACTTATGATGTAGTCCCTAACGATGCGCCCCCCGCCCCCTCTCCCTCTAAGCGGGCTAAGACGGCGAAGGCTAAGGGCTCCTGCTGCTGCCGCTACCTACGTCGCCTGCGGGCCGCAGGCGATGCGGCGGGGCGGGAGATCGAATGTGTTTTTATGACCGAGACGGGTCGTCGTTCCACTAATTACTCTTATTACAGTAAGGGCAAGCGCGGTAGCCGCTCAGGCTGCGTGCCGGTAAGTCCCATGCGGTCCGTATACGTTCCGTAGGCTGATAATTTTAGATTCCTCCTTCGCTCGTTTCGCGTGCGAATAGCCTATAGGCCGCTAACCTCGCCTGCGCGAGGGGCGAGGATGGCGCGCCCGCCGTTACCGTTATCTAGCGCGAGGCGGACGCCATCGACGCCGAGCTCCGGCTCGTCGAGACCGACGTGGCCCGTAAGTCGGCGGGTGGTCTTACTATTGGGGGCCGTATGCGTTCCGCCCGCGATTCTAGTGCGGGTACTGCGGGTGCTGGCGGCGGCCAGCTTAAACTTCTGTTAGCCTACCTTATCGACGCCGTGCGGGCCGCGGTCGACTCCTACCGGGAGGTGGTACGTACCGTACGCTTCCCGCACCCTATTCGCGTGCTGACAATTTCAGAATAACTTGGAGGCTCGGGTGTGGCCCGACGAGGATTCGGGCTCCGATGCGGAGTGAGCTCCCTACGGGTAGTTAGTTAGGTGTTAGGGAGGCATCGCCCTTGAGTCGCGTACGTTCCGCGTGCGCTTCGGCTTAGGCTCCCTTAGGGGAATCGGAGTTTCGTACCGCAGTAGATTCGCCTCCGAGCGTCAGAGCGTAAGCCGGCCATTTATCAGTTCGTACATGTGTTTTTTACCTTACTTACGCGAGGCGTAAGAGATCCGCATGCGGGTCGCTATGGCCTTAGCTATTGGAAATGATAATTTATTCTCCACTCCTATACTTATTCTCGATGAAATTCGTCTAGCTTCCCCCGTGCGTTCCGCAGGTGCTCCTCAGGCTCCTAGCTATCGTAGGCCTCGCTGAACCCCTTCTATCGGACATAGTACTCTAGTCTTCCTTATCGTTCTCTTATAGCGAGGATTTACTCGACTTCCCATTCCTCCTCGTCGTCGATGTTAACCGGCTCGGGGGTTTCTCTCCCGGGCCGCCGGCGATACGTATATAGTAGGGATACGTGGAATATAGGGTGTAGTTAACTATACTTCTTAGGTAAGTCTAACCTATAGGCATTCCTCCTAATGCGTTCCAGGACTGTAAAGGGTCCGATATTCTAATTCGTAAGCTTTCTACTTACGCGTGGTATACGGATATTCTTCGAGGAGACCATGACTTTATCCCTAATGTTGAAGAATATCTCCGTTCGCTTTTTATCGTAATGTTTAGCTATTTTTGCCATCTACCGCTTAGCTATATCATGCGCCTCGCCGGCTTATAGTAGGGAGTCCGCGAGCTGGTTAGCCCGGTCCCGCGCGAGCTCATTCTAAGGCGTCACTCCCTATATGTTAAGATGTATATCTGGCTCGAACGTTAGCACCTGGGAGAACGGAGTCTTACCAGTAGTTGCACTATAGGCTGCGTTCATCGCGTACTCTACGCTTACGAGTAGCGTAGCCTAATCAGTCTACTTATAGTTCACATAGTAACGTAGGTATACTTTAAGTGTCTAGTTTATACGCTCCGTCTGACCATCGGTCTACGGATGGAAAGCGGTAGAGAATAGGCGGCGAGTCGTAAGGTAGTCGTATAGGGTTCTAAACTACGTCGACGTGAATAGAGACCCCCTATCGCTAACTATTAACTTAGGCGCGCTATACTTCGCTACTACCTTTTCTAGAACTATTTAGCCTAGGCCTTAAGCGTTAATGGTACTCATACAGGGTGTAAAGATTACCATTTTTGAGTACCTATTAACGATGACCAGTATCGAATCGTAGGCGATCCCGTTATATAACGAAGGCGGTAAGCCTACGATAAAGTCCATCGAAATATCTTACTAGGGACCCTTAGGTATGGGTAACGATTAGAGCTTCCCGTACGGCTTCTACCTTGATACTTTCATCCGTTAACATACATCACATGTCTTGACATACTCTTATATATCGCGACGTATGTACGGCCACTAGTAGTGTCGCATGAGATTCGCTACCGTCCGGTGCTCGCTAAAATGCCCGCCCTACCATAGATCATCATGGTTAACCTAGAGGATTTCTCCCCGGGTTGCAGGATCATGCGGGACGTATACGCAGCCCCCGCGACGCGCCAGCCCATCCTCATCGACACTCTAGGTACTAGAGAACTCGCCCTTCTTAATGTGTCCATTTAGCTCCCGTTTCCACGGAGCGTCCTAGCACCATTCATCAAGTAATTGTAATTCTCTTATGCGGTCCGTAAGCGCTTCTCTACGCGTCCGTAGGTTAGCCGCCTCTTACCCGCTTAGGTTTGCCCTTTCCTCTACCTCGGGAGTAGGTAGTGTTATAACATTATATACACTCTCCTTAGGACCTGATCGCCTCCGAGTCTCCGCTCGGGTGAGAACGCTAACGATGACTTCGCCGCCGCGCCTTATACGACCCTTAGGCGCATCCTCTGCGAGGGCTATACGTAATCGCAGTAGCTCCGTAAGAGCATTCACTACGGGTTGTTCTTCCTCTACCATATAGTCAGGACGGCGGGAGAGCCCATCCGCGGGGTTATCCTTTCCGCGCCTCTACTGAATTAGGAAGTCGTATACCGCCAGGACCTCTACCTAACGCATCTACCGTCGATTCAGGACCTTAGTAGTTATAAAGCATTAAAGCGCCTCATGATCAGTGAGGACTATCGTACTTTCCGTAGGCGATTTAAGGTAATGTCTCCATATCTTAAATGCGTGTACAATCGATAGCATTTCCGCATCCCCCGTAGTGTAATTCTTCTCCGCGGGAGTCATCTTCCGCGAGTAGAACGCTACGGGGTGCCATCGCGTACGTCCCCCCTGCGTCTCGTACGCTTAGGACAGCACTCCCCCAAGCGCCTGGCCTGAGGCATCCGTTTCGACCCTGTTCCTTCGCTCAGGATCGAAATGCGCTAGCATAGGGGCCTCCGAGAAGCGCGCCTTCAGCGTGCGGAACGCAGCGTCCGCTTCCTCGGTCCATATAAGAGTTCCAGTCTTTTTCCCTGCCTTCATGCCTATTAAGAGATCCGTGATGGGGGCCACTACCGCGGAATATCGATGGATAAACCCTCGGTAGAAGTTAGCGAACCCTAGGAACACTTAGATATCTCTGAAGGTCTTGGGGACTGGCCACTCCTATATCGCGGATACCCTACTAGGGTCCATCGATACTCCTACGGTTCCTACGCGGAAACCCAGGAAATCCACCTCCGTAGTGAAGAATTTGCACTTCGATAAGTTCGCGTATAGCCCATGCTCCTTTAGGCGTTCCAGCACGAGGTTTACATGCGCTTCATGTACGGCTTCATCCGGACTGAAAATTAGGATATCATCCATGAACGCGACACAGACCTCGTCTAAGAGACCCTTGAGAGCCTCGTTAATGTAGGCTTAGAATGATGCTGGCGCGTTCGTCAATCTAAAGGGCATAACTAGATATTCGAAGTGCCCGTATCGCGTACGAAACGCAGTCTTCCAGCGGTCTTCTTCCGCTATAGGTATGCGATGATAAGCGTCCTTCAGGTCTAGCTTCGTATATACCCTAGCCCCGACGAGTCGATCCAGGATCTTAGGGATGAGAGGTAAGGGGTATCGATTCTTTTTAGTTACTCGGTTTAACCCACGATAATCGACGCAGAGTCGTAGGCTACCATCCTTCTTAGGCACGAATAGGATTAGAGCGCCTACCCCGGACTCGCTAGGCTGAATCCATCCTCGACCCATTGCGGTCTCGATGTATTCGCGTAGGACTCGCAGTTCTTTCGCACTTAAAGGGTATATAGGCCCGTAGGGTGCTGTCTGCCCTTCTTCAAGCGGGATGAAATGCCTCACCTTCGTCCGGGAAGGAGCTGGGTCTTCGTCCGGGTCTCCGAATACCGTAGCGAACTTCGTAAACTGCGGCGGTAACTGGGGCTCTTGCGTAAGTCCCGCAAGCGTAACGGTTACGCCTCTTTACCCCTCTAAGGGGGCTAGCTGTACCCAGAGGAGGCCAATAGTAGTGTCCTTCGCCTCCTTCAAGAGTCTCTTAACGCCTACTATTAATACCTACGGTTCGGGTACGTCTCGATAGTACCACGCACTCGATTCCCAGTTGATGTCTAGGTTAACCTCCTTTAGCCAGTCATAGCCTAGGATAAGGTCATACTCCACGAGCTTAACCGCTAGGTATCGGTGTTTCTTCATCTTGACTGTTCTAAGGGCGTCCTTAACCTAGGTATCAACCTAGTGCTCACCATAAACTTCCAGCGGTTGTCCGCCTATGGTTCGCACGCTTCTCTCTGCCCTTTCGCTAGGTAGACGCCACTCTGCCGCCCGGAGGTGGGATATGAAACTCTTCTCCGCCCCGCTGTCGAGTAGCGCGCGGGCCTTCTAAGCTCCTGTAGGGGTGTAGATTTCTACCTCCATAACTAGTGCTTGGCCATTTCCCCAGCCTAGTTCCTGGGACTTTAAGAATTTCGCCGGATCTAGACCTAGCGCCGCTACGGCGCCTAGTAGGCTAGGTCCTATTTTTTTAGCTTTTTCTTATCCTCATTCTTCCCTGCGTCGCCCGTGCGCTTCGCCTGCGCTGCGGCGGCGGTCGCAGGTTTAGGGCGTGGACAATCCTTTTCCTTATGTCCTCGCTGGCCGCAGGCGTAGCACTCCCCGCTAAAGGTATCAGGTACGGCTCCCACCTGATGCTTCGCCTTTTTCATGGGGGGAGACGGTTCTCGGTCGCGCTTCGCCTGCGGTTCCTGGGCTGATCGCCGAGGGGTCTGGCGCGTTATCGACTGGGCTTACCCACCTGAACTAATAGGCGTAGAGCGCGCTGACCGCGTACGCTCCGCTTACCTTTCCTTTAAGACTACTGTTTCGAGCCTCTATGCCGAGGCGAGGACCTGGGCTCGCGACGTGATAGTCTTAAGGTCCCGCCGAACTGCGTCTCGCAGGCGGGGCGCTAGAGCGTGGAATAGTGCCCAGCCCTTTCTCTCGTCCTCGGTAAGAGGGCCGACTTCATCCTCTAACAGTATCATTTCATGCACTAGGTCTCTGACCGATTATAATGCGGCCTACTTAAGGGTTCCCAGCTTTTCGAGTGCTTCTCCCTTACGGACGTCGGCGTCTTCGATTATATCCTTACACTACGAGATAAAGAGGTCCCATATCAGCGGGATGGGGTTTCCTTCCCGCCGGTCTCGTCGCTATTCGTCAAGGGCGCGGCCCTCGAGATAATTAGCTGCGGTCCGGATGCGCTGCGGCCAGTCCGGGACTACGTCGCTCGCTAGCGACTCGAAGATCGTCTGCCAGCTACTATCGAAGGCGTAGAGTTGCTACATAGACTTGCTCGTAAAGAGTTTAGGCTTGACTGTACGTATTACTCTTTGTAGTTCGTCGCGATCTTTGTCTGGAGATGAATTACGGTGGGGTCGCTTGCGAGTCGGTAGCGAGGTGCCTTCTACCTCCGCGTATACCGTAGGAGTCTCTCCTGCGACCTCCGCCTCCATCGCTTCGATCTCGAGCCTTAATCTTTACCTCTTGAGGGTATCTACTAGTAGGGCTCTTTTCCGGAGGAGCGCCTATAGCTCTAAGTCCGCCTCGGGGTTTGTATCTGACTCTTCTGCTGCGGGTATTACGCGACCCGGCTGCGATTCGCGGTCGTCGTCTGTATCCCCTTCTTCGTCGGGGGTAGGATCGTTTTGCATTGTAGGTTCCGTTGAGCTCCCCGTAGTAGGTTATGACGGTCCTCCCTCTATATGAGGCTCCTAGCGGGTCGCCCTCTTAGGCGCCATCGTACCGCGTGCGACGCGCCGGGACGTCGCTCCCTCCGACCGATCTTGAGGGATGCTTTGAGAATGTCAGGAACGGCCTATATAGATAGGTAGAGGGTAGCGATAGGTATAGGTAGGTATAGGTATTCCTTGATAGTATATCTTAACTGAAACTTAAAGCATGAGGGAAGGAAGCTTCCCTCAGGCGGTGAGCATACGGTGCTTAAATAATAAGGGGTTGTCACGTGTGAGTTATACTTGGCGGTTCGTGACACTACTAGACGAGGCTAGACGCCTAAAGTCGATACAAAGCCAATCGCACGAAATGGCCATGAACACTAGGGTTAAAAATAGCCCTAAACCTAAGTGTTCCTACTGTAATAAAAGGGGCCATTCTATCGATAAGTGCTGGGATAAGAACCCTAGCCTAAGGCCACCTAGGGCTAGTCCTAACCCTAATAGGGATCGACAGGCTAACCCTAGAGAGGCTAAAAAGGAACCTACTCTTACTGTACAAGAGGAAGGTCAACTGGTCGAAAAAGAATACGCACTGTCTATAATAGATAGGCTGGACGACCAGAATCTATGGATACTAGACAGTGGGTCTAGTAGGCACATCTGTGCCACTAAGGCGCTATTTAGCGACCTAAAACCCTGTCAAACGATCTTAAACTGGGGGAATATTACAGATATCCCAGTAAAGTGGCAAGGGAACGTTAAAGTACGTTTTAAGTCAACTGGTCGAACTGCTATCATCCAAGATTGCCTATTCGTGCCTGAACTAGGTCTTAATCTACTAAGCCTAGGGGCACTAGTCAGAAAAGGTATCTCTATAACTATAGGAGATAACCTAATTAGTCTATCGATCGACGAAACTATGATAGCTAAAGGCTATTATAGAAGAAACCTTATCGCCATCGATACCTGTCCTACTACCGAATACGCTTATACAACGGTAGATAGCGATACCTGGCACTAAAGAATGGGTCATATAGGTAGTATAGCCTTAAAGGCACTACCTAAACGCACTATAGGCTGCGAAATACCTGAAAAACCGGCTACATCGACGAAAGACTGCGACATATGCATTCAATCAAAGGCTACAGCGAAAATAAGCCGAATTCCAATGCCTAGGGCACAAGAAGTCCTAGAAAAGGTCCATTCCGACGTTTGTGGGCCTATAACGTCGGAAACCTTTCTTAAACAGCGCTATTTCGTCTCGTTTATAGACGATAAGACTAGATACGCCACTATCCGCCTATTATCTAGTCGAAATCAAGTCTACAGCGAATTTAAAGACTACCTAGCGCAAGAGGAAAACCAATTAAACGCTAAACTAAAGCGTTTACACTCAGACAACGCTAAGGAATATAAAAGCGAACAGTTCCTAGCGCTATTTAAGGAAAAAGGCATCATAACGACTTACTCAGCGCCTTATACACCTTAACAGAACGGAATAAGCGAGATTTTCAACCGTACACTTATGAATAAGGTACGAGCAATGCTTCTCTCGTCAGGCCTACCAAAAGGGTTATGGGGAGAAGCGGCTTTAGCCGCTACCTATCTATATAATAGGACCCCTCATTCTAGCCTAGAAGGCTTTATAACCCCTTACGAGGCTAGGTATAAAGAAAAACCTACTATATCGAATATAAGGACCTGGGGATCTATCGCTTATAAAAGGGAACCTCGAGATACCCTTAAAAAGCTAGACTCTAGGGCTAGTCCTTATATTCTAGTAGGGTACGGATCAAATCAATATAGGCTTACTAAGCCTAGCGCTAAGTATACAGTTACTACAGCGCGAGACGTCGACGTCCTAGAAGGTGTCTTTATAAAAGATACCCCCGAACGCCTAGCTAATCAACTAGCTAAGGTACAAGCGCAGATCGATACTATATCAAACGAATAACTAGTCGAAACAGACGAAAACGAACTAGTTAACCCTATAGAAGGTCAACTAGCCGAAACTAACGACGAACGAATCGATCCTCTAGAAGGTCAACTAGACGAAAATACCCCTACAGTTATAGACGATGACCTAAGGTCTATCGAAGACCTATCGTTCAGCGAACAACTCGAATATTACGCTAACGAAGCGAACTATGCCTTTATAACTACCGACCCTACCTATCTCGAGGCTATAAAGTCTTCAGAAGCGTCTAAATGGAGACTAGCCTATCAAAAAGAGATAGACAGCCTGAAGGCCAGGAATACCTGGACCTTAGTACCTAGGACTAAAGACCTAAAGGTACTAGATGGGAAATGGGTTCTTAAACTTAAAGATCCCCATCGAAACCCTATCTATAAGGCTAGATGGGTAGCAAGAGGCTTTCAACAAACACCGGGCATCGACTACAACGAAACGTTCGCGAATACAGTTAACCCTATAGCCTGGAAATTACTCCTAGCTATAGGCGCCTACCTAGACCTTGAAATACGTCAATGGGACGTTAAAAGCGCTTTTCTAAACGCTACCTTACGAGAAAAGGTCTATATAAAGCAACCTACTGGCTACGAAGACCCTAAGTACCCTAATAGGGTCTATCTGTTAAATAAAGCTCTATATGGGCTAAAACAGTCAGGAAGAGAATGGGAAAACCACCTTAAAGGCCTATTACGGCAACTAGGCCTATTCCCATTAAGAACAGACTAGTCTATCTACTCGAACGAGAACTAAACGATCATCCTAATCGCCTACATCGACGACATAATCGTTATATCGAAAGATCCTATAAAGATAGAGACCTTATTTAAGGACCTATCTAAGTCTATCGAACTTAAGGATCTAGGCGCTATTGACGAATTCCTAGGAATCAAGATAACTAGGAATAGGCCTAAAAGGACTATATCTCTATCCCAAGGTCAATATATCGATAAAATTCTCAATCGATATAAACCTAAGGATAAAAAGGAGATAAGGCTAACTAGTCCTATCCCTATAGGCCTGAAATTCGAGCCTACAGAAGGAGATGCTAAACCAGAAGATATAAGGGATTTCCAACAACAAATAGGAGCCCTTATGTATCTTATGACAAAGACGAGACCTGACCTAGCCTACCCAGTAGGCTACCTCGCTAGGTATATGTTAAACCCTAGTCCTTTACACTTTAAAGTGCTTAAAAAGGTCTGGGAATACCTAGCGATAACGAAAGGTCTAGGCCTAGCCTATCAATCTAACTCTACTAGCATCGATTACTATGTAGATTCAGATTGGGGGGGTGATATAGGCACTAGACGATCTACAATAGGCTATCTATTCGTCTTCCGAGGCACTCCTCTATCCTGGAACTCAAGACTACAGCGTACAGTGGCGCTAAGTTCTTGCGAAGCTGAATATATGGCCTTAAAAGAGGCTATAAAGGAGCAACAGTACATTAAGGCACTACTAAGCGAGATAAAAGGTCTTATAGGCCCTAGTCTTACTATAGAATGCCTAAACGTCTATACTGACTCCCACTCGGCTATAGAACTAGCGAAAAACCCTGTATATCACGCCAGGACTAAGCATATCGACATACAATACCACTATGTACGCGAATGCGTCCAAAAAGAGGTATCTAAGCTTCTATGGGTACCTACCGACGCTTAACTGGCCGATGGTCTAACTAAGCCTATACCCACCGACAAATGGATCGCTTTTATCGAAGGGATAGGCTTAAGAGACCTAAACTAGCCTATTAAGGCTGGAAAGGTGCCTACAGGTAAAAAGACAAAAAACGGGCCCCCTGTCGAGACGAAGTCAACAGGAGACAGTTATTGCCTAGGCACCGTCAGGGCGTCCCTCTACTAGTGGGTTACGATAGAACACAAGACTAGTAGGAGGAGCTTTACAACACCTTACGAATAAGGTCGGACCGCCCTGCTCCCTTCTATAGAAGGGCCCTCAATAATACCCTAAAGGTAACTTTACCTAACAGCACTAACATTTGCCCGTCTTCCACCACAAACAAGGGTTGAGCAAAGGGGATAGTGCCAAAGATAGGAAAGTTAACCTTCGAGGTACGTCAACCACAGATCAAGATTCTAGGTAATTGAGAGATTTATTCGCAACTCTCGATTATATGCCTAATTAAGTGGGGCTAAGGTGGGGGGGTTCGATTCCCACCTATTTCAGACTATTTAACTAGTCTAGCCTTTTCTTTTACAGGCCACTTCAACAGGCCTAGTATGGGATTGTCAGGAAAAACGATATTCCGGAAATAAGCTAGAATCTCGCCAAGACTAGGTGAGAACTAGCTTAAGGGGGTGTGTGGAATATCGCTGTCTAGGCCTCTTACCTAGTTAGGCTTAGTACCTAGGTCACGTGACTTGATTACGTGGCTAGGTAGCTTAGCTAGGTAAGACAACTAGGTAGCGTAGCCACTTATATCATCGCTTACTAATAGCGATTCGATGGATTTCTTTTATCTTCTAACTATCGCCACTCGCTACCTATATAAGGACACTCCTCTCCCCTCTTAGATAGTTAAGTTTCACTAAGTCTTCTATAGTCGAATAGTCAATACCTATCGGTTCGATCCTATAATGAGCCTATTCATTACCTATTTAGGTAATCCTCCGAGTCCTTCGAACAGGTCCGCCGCGGAAGGATGCTAAGCGGTGTAAAACCGGATAATCCCCTAGCCGAAAAGGGCCGAGAAAGAAATATTTGTATATGGAAAGATGGGCCCTAAGTAGAAGCTTAATCGTACCGCTGTAAGCTGTGCCGTTTAGTCAGAGGTGGTCGCTCGACAGGTTGACGTTCTGTGCTGGCGATGGTCCGCTTCGCCTACGAAAGATATGGAAGCCGCATTTTGCCCTGCTTTGTGGAACGACGGCATGCATGAGCAGCACAGCATCAAAAGTTCCACATTACGGCTTTATCTACTAACCTGAGATCATTAGGGCATCAAAAGGTCGAGTCAAGCAAAGGCAGGGCACGATTTTTAGGTCTGATTCATGAGCTACAGACCTCAGTCCAAGCAATGCTTGCATATGCTCACATTTTAAAAACCGACTTTTCGTCCACTGGCGGACCCTGCTCGCAGTATTGCTGACCCTGGAGGCTTGCACCTAAATTCCCAGCAATCACACGTCTTGCCCTCACAAAGCGACCGCGACCCTGTTGGTCTGATATTTCTTGATGTTGGGTATGAAGAAGCAAGTAATGATGGCCAGCACACCGAACGGAATGCTAGTGACCCAAACCCACTTCAAGGACTCGGCATAAGCCCATCTCTCGCCCAACGTAGCGCCCGCCAATGCCTGTGGTGTATATCCAACCGCTTGGGTAATATTGGCTGGAGCAGCCAGAAACATTGTCACAAACTCGGTGGCATCTGCTGCCGGCAAACCTGCTTTGATGGCGTACTTGGCAATTTGTTTAGGTAGCTGCGTGTTGAGCTTGTTCACGAAGATGTTGTAGTAGATGGTGAAGCCGATCGAACCGCCCACGGTACGGATCGACAGGGACAAGGCGGCGGTGGTTGCGAGAAGAGAGTCCGGGACGACGATCAGAGCCACGGTGGCAGCGGGGACGAGGATGCCGCCGACGCCAAAGCTGGCGATCGTGCCGAGGGCGACTGCTAGTTTGGGGGTTTCTGGCGTGGTAGCGACCAGACCGCCGATGAAAGCAGCTGGAGAGGAACTCAGACATTCTTGTTCTGCAAGCAGCGGCAGGGGGCAAGCTTACTCATGATAATGGAAGACATCAGCAGGATGTATTTCGCTTCCAGTCTCGTCGACAGTAGGGCGTTCCAGAAAACGGCACCTGCGGTGGTTGAAATGCCATAGCCTAAACCCTTCAGGCCAACTTGAACTGGATCCGGACTCCAAAGAGTTGAAAATGAGATCGGGAAGAAGTTGATCAGAGAATAGAAATCGAAGCCAGCAACAAAGGCAACAAGGAAAGTAAGCGCCACCACCCGTTGTCCCTGATAGAGTTCGCGTGGGATCATGGGATGCGGTGCATACTTCCATTCCCAGATAACCCAGGCAATGATGAGCAAGATTCCGATAATCAGCTGTGCCAGGACGTAGCCGCTTGCCCATGGATGAGTATATCCGCCAGATTGGAGGGCGACGAGGCTATATACCAATCAACCGCATGGCTTATGAAAGTAGCAGGGGCGCCACTTACAACAGAGTGATGCCTACAACGGACAGAATGGCTCCGAGATAGTCGATGCGTTTGAGGATCTGTTGTTTGGACATCCCCTCCAGGCGAGGATGTGCTTTTGGGAAGTATGTCGTCAACAGGCCCAAGAAAACGACGCCGTTCCAGATCCTGCGTTGAAGTTAGTCTCATCTCGCAGGCAATTGACAATGAGACTCACAGAGCTATCCATTGCGTCCACCTCCAGGTCCTGTACGTGGAGAGTAACTGGCTGAGGCCCATCAGGAGGCAAACAAAGACAAACAAGGGTATCGTGGCGCCTTACCTATACATAACGTAGGGCGTGAATGGCAGGATTGACGCAGTCATGAGCGCCAATGCAAATCCACGCCGACGTACAGGGACGATATCCGACAAACTGCTGGGCATCAGCGTTCCGAATAATGACTGACAGATTCTTGCCCTCATACCCTGCCAGAGCGGTCAATTCGCAGACGCCCGCGCCTGCGCCAGAGAGGGCCATCCCCGTTACAGCTTGTCCAAAGGAGTTGGCGCTGCCGATCAAAGCAATTCCCAGCATAATCACGATAGAGCCCGCCAGAGTGATATTGCGCCGGCCCAGCAGGTCTTGCAAGTAACCCACAAACGGTGATACGGCAGTAATAGCTAGCGTGTTCGAGACGGGAAGCCAGCTTCCCACTTTCTCGGCCCCAAGGTCGGCTTCTATGAAGGACAAACATCCTCCCACGAAGTAGAGCATGACCTGGGACCCTACAAGGGAGTCAGCAAAAGGGAACAATGCTGCCGAATGACGGAGGAAGAGCTGACCGGCATAGAGCATGCCCAAGGAAATCGCCGCCACGGAGTGACGAAGAGTCCAAGCGACGTTGCCATCGGAGTCATCTCCCTTGTAAGCATATTCGTTGTGTATATGGACGTCGTCCGCAGCGTCTTTCTTCTCGTGGACTCCAAGATGATCTGCGCTGGATTGCTTGGAATCGACAGGATCCTGTGCGACCGTAGTCTCGGTCTCTTGTAGCGCCATGGCTTTTGTTTGGTAGAAAAGGGTGTTTGACAGTTGGAGGAGAAGACGGCGGTGTCCCAGAATTTATGTAAGAGTTGATTACGGGGAAATAAAGAACCTGGGGAATGGTGTATGTTGGGGCTGAGCGGTCCGGAGTCGGCTCCCACGGGAGTGAGTCGGACCACGTCCGGTATATTTCGGTTGTTTCCGGTAGAATCTCAGATGCTAACACGATGCACTCCTTGACCCGGGAGGCTTTGGGGGGTCTAGAACAAGCGTTGAATTAGCGTCCGAGGTGAATGGTGTTGCTAGGCTAAGTGCCATACCTTCCTGAGCCCACGGGAAGACGAAGCCTTGCCGCGGCTTCGACATTGTGTCGTGTTCTGGATTCGGGAGGATAACACGTTCGCTTGTGCAATCCCTCTGTACGCTGCGTCGGTCTCAGTCGGTCCTTGGAGCAGCAATTTTACCTTCCGACTGCTCTCACATCCAAGCGACTGCAGGGACCGTCACATCAAAGAGAAACGAGCTTCGCGCAGCATAAAGGTTTCCTGGTAGCCTTCCCATCACGCCCCAGACATCCAAAGGGCTGTCAAAAAGAGAAACCATGCCATACAAATCGAGATGGTCCATCTCACTGCCACAATGCTCTTTCCCGACCTTCCTGTTCGGCTCCCCGTGCAAAGATCTCAGCGACAAGAAAGCCTACGTTGACGCGACACGCCCGGAAGAGCTCTTTCTCACTCGCCAAACGTTCCGGCTCTGGTCACAGCGCATCGCTTTGGGTCTACTCAAAAGCGCCAGTTTTGAACCTGGAGACCGAGTCTTGGTGTTCTCTGGGAATACTCTTGCTACGCCCGTTGCGTTTATGGGCATTGTTATGGCCGGAGGAGTCTTCACAGGGGCAAATCCGACTTTTACTGCCCGAGAGCTGGCGCATCAGCTGCGAGATTCGCAAGCCACTTATCTTCTTTGCTCGGATATCTCTATAGACACGGGAATTCGAGCCGCAGAACAGGCTGGCCTGGACAAGAGTCGAGTCTACGTGTACGACGAGAAAGTTTTCTTGAGTGACAAGGCTTGTCAGGCAGGCCTGAGAGGGTGCAGGTATTGGTCTGATCTGATTGCGCCGGCAGAAGAAGCTGAGGGGTTTCAGTGGGAAGAGCTTGAGGTAAAGCCCACATGCTTTCAGAGCGCTGTGCTATTTCTAACTGGAAACAGGGCGACAAATGCCACAAGACCATCGCCCTCAACTATTCCTCAGGCACAACCGGGGTGCCCAAAGGTGTCGAAGTCACGCACTACAATTACATTGCCAACACACTACAGTATAACCACCTTCCCACTCTCGCTCCGAACTATGATGAACTCAACAGACGCTCCAAATGGCTCTGCTTCTTGCCTCTCTACCACGCCATGGCTCAAACGATATATATCGCAGGTGCTCTCCTCCGCCAGATTCCCGTCTACATCATGCCCAAATTCGACTTTGTCGAAATGCTGGCAAACGTGGAAAGATTCCGCATCACCGATCTCACTATCGTGCCCCCGATTGCCGTGGCCCTGACCAAGCATCCCGCAGCCAGGAAATACGACCTGAGCAGTATCGAGACGATGAACTGTGGCTCCGCCCCGCTCGGAAGCGACGTCTGCCGAGCGATTGAGGATCTCTGCGGCCGCAGATTTAACATGAAGCAAGGCTGGGGCATGACTGAGGTGACCTGTTCCCTCCTCGGATGGGATCCAAACAAGACTTCCACGTCCTTTGGCGTCGGAGAACCAAACGCGAACTGCGAGGCCAAGATCGTGAAGATCCTCACCGGCTCTTCCGGCCACGAATCCTTTTCCGAGGTGACCGAGCGGGGTCCCGCCCACACAGGCGAGTTGTGGTGTCGTGGTCCCAATGTCATGAAAGGCTACTGGCGCAATCCCTCTGCCACGCGGAATGCTTTCTCACCGGACTCTGAGGGCTGGCTGAGGACTGGCGACATCGCCTATGTCGATGAGGACGGATGCTTCTACATTGTGGACCGCATGAAAGAGCTGATCAAGGTCAAGGCAAACCAGGTCCCTCCTGCTGAGCTGGAGGCTCTGATCCTAGAGCACCCCGCGGTTGCTGATGTGGCAGTCATCGGGATCCCAACCGCTGACGGCGACGAAAGGCCCAGGGCATTCGTGTTGCGGCAACCGCGTGCCAAGGTCACCCAGCAGGAGATTATCGACTACGTCAAAGAGCGTGCAGTAACTTACAAGTGGCTGACGGCGGGGGTGGAATGGGTTGATGAAATACCCAAAAACCCATCCGGCAAAATCTTGAGGAGGCAGCTCCGTGACAGGTCCAAAGTCCAGTACGTCCAAGCCCGATTATAGATAGAGGTGTTCAAAACCAGGACATAGGCTGGTCCAAGTGACAAACTAAGTACATTACGTTGTCGTTCCAAGGTTGAACATAGCTATACAGCATACATACATCCTCTTCACCAACGACAATGATACACCTGCACAGCCCTTTGTTATGCTGCTGTGTCCGTACGTCACAGCCTCCCATAGCCATCTTGACGGTCGGCGTATGACAATGGTAGTCTTGCAGAGTCTCACAGATAGCATAATCGCGCACGCACTGCTGACCGACTCTTCCCTGGGACATTTGCCTATCTACATGTGGGTCTCTAAACACCAGACACGCTCAATCGTAGCGCTCATTCACCCTTCAGTTGCATGTGATTTTTTGGGGATAACACTGACCCATACCTCATGCTGATTAATGTTACAATCCTGAACTAATAACTTATCTTAGATAAATCAGACCCTTACCTTAGGTGCTACTAGTAGCACTAGTAGCATTAGCGTTAACGCTAACCTTTTGCGGAGCCAAAGTCCTTCGTAGAAGGGTTTAAGTATAGAGACGGAAAAATCGCCTTTCATCGCATTCACTTTACGTCGATAATACTCTACGAATACGGCGTATAGAGAGAAATAGTAAGTCTAGACTAGGAATGTAATTCTAGTTCTTCTACTTAAGACTTACTTAGCTTCTTTAGACACCCTAGTCGTAGAGAAATATCGTGTTTAAATTCCCCAAGTTAAGAGATTTTTTCATTTTTGGTGTGGAAATGACGCTATAAACGCTAAGAACAGGGGTTTTTCCGTTTCGGTGCTCAGACTCGTTTTTGAGAAAAGTTAGCCTAACTTTTTAATTGGTCCACGAGCGCTAGCTCGTCAATCAGTGCGCTAGTACCTCATAACCGCAGTCTGATCTATCTGAGACAACTAATAACTGGGCACCCAAATTTCCAGCGGCTCATTCATATATGGTAGAGCTGGAGATCAAGTGCTGTCATGAAGGTCGATAAACTCGTTGAAGTCTACCTCACTCGTGAACGAGTTGGGCTGCCCCGTTACCATGGCATCATCCACGTAGGCATCTTCTGTTTGTATTAATTCGAGCGCACCAGTAATGAACGTCGTGTCTAGCAGACCGTCGAAGGTGTCTCCCAACTCAGGCAGCTCACAGCTCTCATTCGACTGACAGCTACACATACTCTGAGTGCTGCTTCCCGCAGGAGAAGAGACCGGCAGCACAGGCAATTCGTGCTCTTCGGGGTATTTGCCTTGTGATAGCGCAATCTGGATAACGACAATCGACCTCAGGAAAACCTGGGGCGAGCCGACGAGGCTTTCTACGCCATCGTTGTTGTTCGATGGAGGACACTTTTCGGGCAATATAACGTCCCGAGAGGAAGGAGGCGGCATTTTGCGCGCATCCAAGCAGGTGACGATCCGACGAATGTAGTCGAGGACTTGGTCGACTCCTTCATATTTTTCTTTGAGTGCATTCAGAGCAGCGAGATAGACTTCTAGGCGCCTGCGAGTGGTGGCTGATTGTTCCCACTGACGCAGCTTGATATTCAAGATATGTCGGAGTACAGGTATGGCGATATGGGCAATACTGGACTGACTCATTAGCCGATGTGAGACTTTCTTTTTTGCATACCGCATGACTGACATGGAAATGGGCATGAATGACAGCATGTCCTGATCAGCGATTCGCTGCAGACTCGTATCAATGCCGTGGATGGCAGTTTCGACTTCTCTCCAGCCCGCTGAAGCCTCCACATGTAAAGGACATCCTTTCGTGATTGCAACATAACTTGCGTGATTCCAGAGTGCTATCTTGGTCGAACTGTGTTTTGACATTAGACACCCCCGAGAAACGAAAAGATGCAGCTTACTGATAGTAGATGGAGATGACATTGTTTTGCAGGGTGAGAAATTTATCCGCGAGGCTATTGACGCGGTATCTTGCCAAATTTTCGGCAAACCAGTGATCGAGGTCTTCTGCACAATCCTGCACCCTCTCAGTAATCGTCGTCGGCTCCTCGGAGCCTGGGCTCGATGGATCCAATGACAAGATGCAAAGAACCTGACTCGATAAGTTGGCCAGTTTGCAAAGTGCAGAGAATGAAGTCGCCAAAGCCAGCTTGGTGGGGAAGTCATAGACAATCGACTGAGCCGTTTCAGCACGAAGGATCCTGGCTCCGTCTCCAGCAATAATTTCCTTCTCTGCTCCGATCTGCAATGGCCTTCGTAGTGCTAGCGCCAGAATCCGGTCTCGGACCAGGCAACAACACCAGAGCCGCTGTAGTACACTCCGACGCTGGACAGAAGCTTCCCCGAGGAGGTGTTGTCGATGTGCGTTGATTGTTCTAGCTAGACTTATGGCGCTGCTCAGCCATTGAGTGTTCGCCTGAGAATCCGGAGCTGAGACGTAGTATGTAAGAAGCAAAGCGCCTTGTGCGCTACACAGGTTACTTCTGTATGAGTCGACGTGGAAGAGAGCCTAGAGAGATACCCTTGAGTCAAATAGACACAGCTGTGGGTCGGGTGTCACGTACCTTGGCTCGACGGTAGAAAGCGGCACGAGCTGTGCGAAAGTTGGGGAAGCCGAGTCGTTCAAGTATGGAGAATGGAACAAACTGTAACATGAGCCTGAGTCGGCCGCTTGGAGCTGATACGCACTC